CCTTTTTTCGCACTAGTGTCTGTAAAAACGCTTTCCTTTTCAGAATATTCGGTGTGTCCATTTGATCTTGTTATTCCATACATTCACGTTACTTCGATCATTTAGTCTGTATTTTTTTACTTTCCTCTGTGGCAATTTATTGCAAAAAAGGCTGTGGTTTCAACGTTTTTGTTGAAGATTTTTAATTTTTTTTTCTTTCTCATTCGGCTTCAGTATTTTATGATTCTCCTCAATACGAATCAGCAAGTAGGCCGGCTATCCAAACTGACCCAATAGGTGAACACGGTGATATTTTTCTGGAACACGACAAAGAATAAAACCTAGTTTGCACCTTTATGGTTCGATGTTTTGCATACGAATTTAATAGCCGAATTCAAGCAGAAGTAATTATGGCATGATTCTTGATACGCATATTTGCCTCATTTCTACATTCTTGACTATTATTTTGACATTTGACTTTTGATGGAATGTTTTGTACCTTTTGTTGTCGCAGGGAAACTTCTTGTCGAGAATTCTTTTTTCGCCTTTCAGCCTGTGTCATTGGTCGTTAGTTGCTGATGAATATCTTGCTGTTTCAGTGATGAGTGATAAAATCCTCGGATTCAATAAATCGCACGTAGCTATGGCCGCTGGCTTGGCTGGTGCAGCATTCATTGGGTACTGTATTTATTTCGATTATTCACGTCGATCGGCACCAGATTACAAGGAAAAGATTCGACGAAGTGGGTACTTAATTGTAATAGAAGTCTGGCTATTTTATTCTATTTCGTTGTCCTTTTCATTCCATTCTTGGTTCTTCAAGGTTCTTGTAAAAAAAAANAAAAAAAAAACTGTCAGTGGCGGTGACAACGAACTATTTTATCACCGCAGCGCTTATCTTCAAATACCGAAGCATTCATTCGTTGGGCGCCTTTAAAGTCGTTCTACAGAGAATATTCGATTAAAGAAGTGAACTTCACGGTCATCACATAGAACAATAACTGCAATCGGCTCGAGCGAATTGGGACAACCGCTGATGCGGTGGATAAAATCTTATTGTTGAATAAGTTGCCTTAGCCTTGAGTTAGTTCGAATTCTCCAACAATTTATTGCAACATCTCCTAATCAAATGCAATCGCATCACGGAGTGTTGTTGTGGGATCAATAGTTCTACCCAATAGGATTCAAACCAACTCTTGTTGAAGTATTCAAATAAAATTCACCCGTTTACCTTTATTTTCACGTAGGTCCCATTCCATGCCCATTGTTAGATTCGGGTATCTGGCAACAAAGACGTTTGCTTTTGCTACGCTTAACATCATCTAATTTCTTCCACCCGAGGAGTAATGTATGGGAATGCCCGTTTCAATTCAGTCCGGAGAGTAGAAAGTAGCAATATCATCACTTTGGGAGACGAGCAATTGTGTCGGTGGGGGTCAGTGACCTCACTGCATTTCAGCTTTTTCCCTCGATCACCTTTGGGGAAAAATAATCGAAAACTTTTCTGAACAGTTGTTTGTCCATCTGTTCTCCTTAGTTTTCCTTCACCCATACATGGTGGGTAAGAAATAAGCATCTCCTAGAGCATAATCTCAATAATTACGTTTGATATGGGAAAGATTGAAATGAAAATCGATAAAATGGAGTGAGTCGAGTCATAGAAGGCAGAATACAGAACGTAACTCCCAATTATCATTGCTTCTCAGGGGCATTGGAACCTTCATACATTTATTGTCTGCCTATTTAATCAGTGTTCCCACTGGAGCGGTGATTTCGACCGATACAACTTTACGAGACTAGAAATCGCTAAAGACATGCGCATAGGCATCATACTGAAAACACAAAGTTTATACCGATTACTATTGTATGTGTTTGTTTTAGATCGACGTGAAAAAGCGAAAGCTCGTGGCGGAGCTGCTTCTGTTGGCCGAGGTGCTGGTGCCACTCAGGTTCCCGACCCTTCAGATCCGACAGCAATGCAGGCTTACTTCCTACAAGAAGTGCAACTTGGCGAGGAGTTCATGGCTAGTGGTGAGTAACGCAGTGTATAAAATTGTGCTAAGGTTTAATGTTGCGATTTCCGATTTTTCAAAGTAACTTTGGATACTCCTGTCCTTCGATATTTTTTGATGCTACCCTTCGATGATTTCAAATTTCTTCGCTTTGCTCCTAACCCTTGAATAGCCGTTTCGAGGTACGGTTTAGTTAAGTGTGGGGATAGGAGATGACTTTGTCCTTTGTTCATTTTTTAGCCCTGTTTTCTTTGCAGGGCTTATTTTGCTTGCTTCACGGCTGGCTCTAAAGAGGTTTTCTGTGCGTAGGTTCATTAGTTAGGGCGTCGCCTGCCCTTACAGCTCGCAGTGGCTGAAATTCTAGTAAGTAAGGGTATGACCGCTTTGGGGCTCAATTGTTTAAAGTCGTATGATCATCTCTCGTTAAACATTGGCCCTCTCCCTGCCGTTCAAGGTCTTTGTAGGCATAATGCACCTTTGTAATTTGTGCTAGTGCAGTTCCAAGGTTTTATCTGTAAATTCTTTGCTGCCAATGGTAATTTGAAATTCTGCAGTTCACTGCCAAATGTTTTAAGGTAACGTCGAAGAGGGTGCAGTGCACATTGCGAATGCCATCGCACTTTGCGGTCCATCGCAACAATTGCTACAGATCTTCCAGCAGACACTACCGGCTGAACAGTACGCCGCAGTCATCGAGCAGTTGCCGCACACTCGTGCTGTAAGTGGCTTGCTTAGGAATTCTGTTGATTTAGTTTTTAATACTTTTGACAAGTCAATTCTCATGCCAAAGCCACCACATATTAGCATTTTATTTATAGTTTGTTGGTTTTCTTTTGAATGGCTGTTCGACCGTTCCTTTTGGGTTTCGTGATGATCCTTATTATTTCAACTAGAAGTAGGAACGTAATGAGGACAACGTTTTCATCGGCATGACCTTCTTCCTCAGAGATATCGCTCTTAACACTCCCTACTGTGTAAACCCCATACGTCTTTTCACTACTGGCATCTTGACTAGATGATGTCTGAGATGTGAAACGACTAGGTCGATCGTGAATTGGACTGTGTCTATGAAGTAGTTCTCCAAGGTTACCTTTTAACCTAATGCAAGCGCCATACTCGACAAAAACGGCGCGATACCTGCAGTGAAACAAGCGTTAACTGCATTTTTATTTTCTCAATTTTCAGCTATATTTCACAAACGCTATTCAAATTGTTTTGAAATGTTTCATTTCCCCGGGTTTTCCGATGAAGATCGGGCGGAAAGGTTGTAATTGATCCACATACTAGTCTCACCTTTTTTAGTAGTTCTTACTGTCTTGTAAAAGGCCTTGCAGTAAACAGTAAATATGTCGAAATGGCCACGTCGTAAACTTTTGTATTGCTATGAAATTTGTTCCTTAAGCAATTCTCATAGAAAAATGATGTGGTTCCGAACTGATGTATAGTGGTGGTTTAGCGCTTGGCAGCGATGTTCGGAGAAGCAGCGGATCATGCAGAATCGCAGCCACCAACAATGACTTACATGGGTGACGGTCCACCTCCAGCTCAGGTAACTAGTCATTTTTTCTTGATTTATTGATTGTCTTTTTCGTTTGCTTAGTGCTCACCTTGCGATGTTTAACGACTTGTTTTTAAACTTCCTTCGTTTTCCTTTGATTATTAATATTTTATATTGAACTGGTTTTTTTCTTTGTTTTCTTTCTTCCGGTGATATTTTGTAAACACTTGAGCCATGCTTCTATTGTCTGATAGAATGTAGTGGTGGAAATAATTAGTACTGCCCATGGCGAGCCACTTTATATTACATCGAGATTGCATGAATGCTTTACCCGTCACCACATTGAAATAGTCTGTGTTGTCCATTGAAATTGTGTTATTCATGCACGGTTCCCGTACGTGACCGATCAGAACGTTGCTCCACGCCGTTGCCCGTTTTACGGTGGCCGCTCCCAGAATATTCCGGGCACCATTCGTTGTAGAAAGTGGTAAAAAACGTTTGGCGATGGGCAGTTAAAGATAGCCAATGCGGCCACACGATTCAAGATACAAGACCTCCTCGTTTTTCGCATCTTTGTGCTTTCGGGGATGGTATCTCAACTCTCGTCCGTGTTACAGAGCTCCAACCTCTTTGAACGTCATAGCTCAATACTCTTTATAGAAAACTTTGAGTGTGTTCATAGATTTTCAAAAAGGTCATATTTCCAAGCGGATTTACTACAAACACAGTCATCGATGTAATTCAGCTGCGATAAAAGCAACTCATTGTATCGCTATTGACTATCAATGGAAAGACGAAAGAGTGAAGATGACGCCTAAAGTTCGATAACAACGATACGTTGTATTCTAGTCAGCAGTTTCTGGGTTGCATTCAGGATTATCTTTTTGGAATCTCCATGTTCGCATTTCTTAAAACTTGGGCATTTGTTTTATAAATACTATAGTATTTCATTTACTTCTGTCTCGAAGGTTTTCAAAACTTGCTCAGCACCCAATCATTGAATATTCATCTTTTTAGGGTCTTAAGTTATCCCTGACAAACTGTGAGTGCGATTATGATTTAATTGATAATAGAGTGGCACTTTTTTGATGAAAGCTCAAGCCTGCAGCTGATGTTCATGTTTATCTGTGCGTGGGAAGTTATTAGTGTGTATGTTGGTGAAATGATTCTTAAACACTTTCCCGTTACAGATCAAGGAGCTGTTAGATGATACGGACGATCTGGAATAAGTGCTTTCACACTCTCACTCATTTGTATAACGTAGTCGTTTCTGTTGTTATTATTTGTATTTGTTATAGGGACGTGTTGAAAATTTTTCAACATATGTCACTACTTGCATCCTCAGCCCAGGTCTCTGAACTTATTTGACCTGGGCTTAGGTAGACGGTTACAATAAGATTGCGAGTAATGGTATGGCCAAAATATCCATGCCACCACCTGTGAACTTGTTCTGACCTTCTGATTGAGTACTGATTTAGGTTAACATAGAATTATTTTTGTTAATGATCGCAACAGTTTGAACAAATCGGAATAAACGAGTGTATTTTTTAGAAGCTGTTATGCTACCAATGTGACGTTTAGGTTCCTCCTTTACCGTGATCGCTCTAAGTTCAGATAGGACGTTCTGTAATGGGGAGCTCTCTCATTCAGTTGAATCTACTGAAAAATCGTACGTTGAGGTTAACACTAATTCCATTGCAAATTTCTTTTCTGGCTTGAGAATATGAAGAGCTTTGGTGGAATTTATATAACAAGATTGCGGCGAATGCTAACTCTTAGCAAGTGGTTATGCGATTAGCATTGTCCTCTTTATCCTTCCTCGGATAGAGTCCTCTTTCACAGGCAGAACCATATGACATACAATTGAGTGCTTTGTAGTTAAGCCTGTCAGTAGCCTTTACATTATCCCAGATCCCATAACGCTTAACGTTTGCGGCAGATTTGTGACCTTACCTCGCGGTACTTTTCAGGGCCACTCTGGTCAGACTTTAAGAGGGTCAAGTCGAAAGTATTTCTGTGTTGTTGTGTTGCTTGTTGTGTTTCTTTCCTCTTTATTTCTATTTGATCGCATCATTTCCTATCACAGCTGGGTTCAGCTTTTCTCGGCTTTATTTAACTTATTATAGCTTTCTTTTGAGAATTACAAATCTAGCAAAATAGAGTGCAGTCTACCCAATCAAGCGATATCAGTCTTCGACTTGGCAGACAATGAAATACCCGGCATTTCTTGAAATTGCATAAATTGGCATAATACAGGAAGCCGCGGCTGCTACCCTATTGGGTCCATTCTGATAGAACTAGGACCTTAATCATGTACCAACAAAATATGGTGATGATTTACGCCTATTATAATACATCGACAATTGAGAAATCAATAAATATGATACTCTGTGTGAGCTTTACAATCATCATCATCATAACGAATACAAACGCATATTCAATAGAATTCTTTAACCACGTAGTGGTGGTAGTCGATTAGTGGAGGTGTAAGATGGCGGCGGTGAAGCTCGATCCTGAGATCTAACATGGTCATAGGAGGATTACGGTAATTTATTGAAGGAAATGTTTAGCATCACAGTGAATTGGAATATGGTCAGAGGAGAATCCCTTTACAGGAACCGTCCCAGTGCAATCTATATCTATTCGAATCAAAATTCCCCGCTTCTGGTTTTTGGGCCCACGTTCTACCGTGAGAAGGGGGGGGGGGCGCTCCTTGTGTTTATACCTACGAACTTACGTTGGCCAAGGGGAAATCTGATGAAGTGAGTCCCCATATGGGAACCCAGGACTGCAAGGACCTACACAAAACGTAATTATCCCACTCAACCACTGCTTGGACATACTGCTACAGTTAAAATTCTAGGCGTATGGGGAGAGGATAATGCTGGATGTTAAGTTCGTATGAAAGTTTGGATTGCCCGTAGAAAAAGTGTAACTTAGATGGGATTTTGGTTTGGTTGGGAATATCCATGTTAGATTGCCAGATCGCTCTCACCGATGCATACATGTTTTACCTCGATTTCCTTTTTTTATTCTAATATAGAAATGACTAGGTAGTGATTGAGGGTGATGAGAAAGATACTCGGATGAGTGTATGGTGAGGAAGTAAGGAGGAGCGAGTGAAGCGTGAGTGAGTGGGCGGGATATGTCGGCTCTCCGGGCAGGTATAAAATGGATAATTCGAACTCCACATAATAATCAGTGGCCGGTGAATCAATGAAATGACGAGTAGGGCTACTAGTTAGTAAAACTGAGGGCGAATTCTTTGATGATCACTATTTCTAGGGAACACAGATCGATCAGATGCAATCACTGTCATCGAGGAAAGGGCAATGGCAAGAGAGATAGGGAGAGGGAGCGCCTGGGAACAACACGATAGTTGTTGTCAAAAGTAAACAAACCGAACCTAAACTGCATGTACCCCGCGATTAATTTATAATGTACAGCTAGGCAAACCTAAGTGTACACGAAAGACGGACAGATTGACCAAGGCTGAAAGTGAATATGGTATGAGGGCTAGAGGAGTGCTGCTGTACTTCGTGCCGCAAGACACCTGATTGACGCCTTGATTGCCTCCTGCTATTGTTCAATGTCGGCCATCTGGTCATCCGGTTGTATTTGCTTGCAGTACTGGAACAGTATCTTCTGATAGTACTCACGTGGTGTGAGTGTACGAGCTGTTGAGCACCTGAAAACCCAATGGGAAAATAGAGGGCGTTTTTTTAGTAGCTGAGGATTTTCCTTGGAAAGTTAAATCACCTGCTAGTATTGAGATCAAGGCTTTCCATACTGGCAAGAACACGATCCGAGGCAAATGACAAAGTTCGTGGGTGTTCAATCCACTTGAAGTAGTAGATGTCTGGAGGCACATAGGGTCGACCACCAATCCAATTCAGATCAGGTTGGCGGCCATTGATCAGGCAATCAAGCAGGTATTCCTGGAAAAATGGTCCGTATAAATATTTATCAACATCTAACAGATTCGTCATGCGGATGTAGTGTAGTGGCAAGTGGCGCACAATCACATACAACCAAGCATTTTACCCTTCCGTGGTCGGTTTATACAGTAACGCTCAAAAGTCTTCGGTGAAATGCTTCGACGCTTTTTCGTTCATAACTTTTTTCTTAACGGACCAAATCGCGCAAAATTTGGATATGTTTAACTTATTTCACCCTACCACACACTATTTGACTGCAAAGCTACAATATCTTCAGATAAAGCAAGGTGTTTGTTGCGGTAGCAGATTTTGCTAAAAGTAAAGTTGCTGACGTCTGCACTTATTCGCACCTAATGTGCGTTTTTCTCATCTATTGTGTACAGCATTACCGCTCGTACACTTCAGACATGACAAAAAGTAAAGAGATTCTAGAAGGATCATCATCTGTATTTTCTAGAAGGACCATCATCTGTATTTTCAGTCGATTTTGAATTCATGCTTNTTGCAATATCTGGAACACGATCAGATTGCGGGTTGATAGGAGTAAATATTCAGAATACACCCACACTCCAAATATAGAAATTTCGCATGATTAGATCCAGTAGGAAAGAAGTTACGACTGAAAAGTACGGCTGAGGAACCATTTCACCGAGGACTTTTGAGCGCTACTGTAGATAGTAGGCTCCATTCTCTCGGCCACATAAGCATACAGTACGTCACTTCGATTCTGAATGGAAGTCGAATGCGGTGCGCATCCCTCAGGACTGGTCAACGCTCAAAGATAGTATCTTTCATCCTCCTCAACCAGAAGAAAGGCTATCTTTTTTATGGAGTTCGGCGTCGCTACACAACCTGACCGTACATAAAGGATAAGGATAAAGCCTTGGGGTGTTGATCAATCCCGCCAGAAGGATGCGCAAGCGCATTCGACTTCCATTGAGAATCGTAGTGGCGTATGAATGCGTGCGCGATCTATACAATGACTTGCGGTGGCCAGCCAATGTACAAGTCTGCGCTTTATCTTCCCAGACGAGTCTGGTACAAATTAACCGATCCTGAATGGATGGGAGGCTTGTTTGGCTTAGGCAGATATCGATCCGGATTTGAACCACTGGCCATGCGTGTGTGAAGTGCGCCACTTGCCACTACATCACCTCTCACCACCACCACTGTACACACAAGTTGCCCATTGCGGCGGAAGTTACTTGAAGGTACTGTACTTTGGTCACTCCTTTTTTTCTTATTATCAATAAGAAAATCGAAGTGGAACGATTATCCTCAAGGTAAGAATACTTTGTAACTAGTGCTTTGCAGAGTTTCTATGTTAAAAGAAGCAGAACCATAGTAGGTATACCTACCTCGGGTAATTGCGCCAATTTATTGAGTTGTTCGGGCGTCAAACCGTAGTTCTTTTGCAAGAATGCCACGTAACCGAACACCTCTCCCAGATGGACGACCTGAAAAATAGGAACGATCTTATCCGACAAATTCAGATTCTATTATAAAATAAGCAAAGAAAGAACTCTGTTGAAGAGCAGGTGCTTGTGAGATGGCGAGTTGTTCAAGGGACTAAGTGAGATTTAGGAAAAGTATCGAGGAAAGGGTGTGTATGGTATATTGAAAGAGTAAATTAAGCCCAAAATCGAGGAAGTTCAAGTGTGTCATGTGAGGGTAGCCAAGTATAAATGCCCACTGCCTTTGCTTTTCAATTGTCTTCTTCTTCTACCTCGCTTCAGTCCCTCACACTCACATGTCTACTGTTCTTGTTAGTTACCATCATTTTCTTCAACCTGCGGCATCTTCTGCCATCAAATAGGGTTGAGAAGGTCCTTCTTAATCACGCCCCTCCATTTTTTTGATATGATTGCTACCCTTGAGCTCCGAATTCCTTCGCTCACTCGCTTACCGATTTGATGCGAGAAAGAGAAATTGGTCTAGATGACCAGAGCCGGAACCTACATATGCCTGAGGCATGCCTTTTATCGGGTGATCGCAGGGATCACAGAAAACCATCGCAAACTTAGGATGGAGGAATTTTCTGTTGTAAAATGTCAGTACAATTATATTCAGAAACTATTAGCGGCTTTTAACTGTCTACTCCTCAGGACAAATTTAGGGTGATAGCACACAATGCCAGTTGTGATTCTCAAAATTCCTATTAGTCCATTAATTCCAGCCAGCTATCCGCCCGGGAGACGATAGAAGAGGAATCACAATTGCGAGTTCATGAACAGACAGACGTATTAGCAAAGGTGTACGAATACTAAAATTAACAGATAAAATTAAAATTCCCAAAAGTTCAGACCTTCCCGCCGATCGTCATAAAAGATCTGCCTAGACTCCGACCATAGAAGTGAATATCTCGAATGTATTCGCTACCGACGAGGTCTGAAAACGATGATAATTTGTTTTTATGGAGATGTTAACCTTCCTTTTGCCACACCCTTTCGACAAAATAATGAAAAATTGATTTTATTTATGAGCAATGAGGCTGAGACTGTCATAGTGTCTATCCCTTGTGAATATCCCTCACTTTTATTACTCAGTTACACATAAAAGAGAACCTGAAAAGCATAACGATAGCTAACAAAAAAGATAGTCTTCCCATAACAACGTGGAACCATCTCGAAATCTTCCATTTTTTTCGAGGCTCCAAACGTAATGAAGTAACGGAAATCGCTCATGTAAGGTTAGAGGTTGGATACAGAGCCTCCAGAAATCACCTAGATCTTTTTGTACGGAGATAACGTGGCAGGGATATGAACCCGATCTGGTATGTGGTGAAAATGTAGTTGGGGGCCCACCCATTCAAAGGCTAGTATATCAAGAAATGACGTCAATGAAACGCGTTATGCCGTGTTATATCACGGACATGCCAGTTTTTAAATGAGGGCTTTCGTAGGGAAGGAGCACCGCGGTGGGCAAGTTTTCTTTCTTTTTCTCTTTTTTTTGTATGAGGTAATCATCCCAGCCACCCAGGTGCTCCTACCCTACCTAGGCTTATTCGGGAAACTGAATTTCCTAAGTTGAAACCGCATAAAGAGCCAAGGTGGCCGGTTCCCATCATCCTCAACGCATCCGATACAGGGCTAATATAACAAGGAATAACACGTTAGACTGAGTTCATTTCTTGATATACTGACCTTTGGATGGGTGGCCCCCTCCAGCTAATGGTAAGTAGGCTGCTTTCCCTAGCAAAATCATGAGCTTATAAGCAAATTTC